ACTACTAACCAATTGCCAAGCCATGGATTCGCTGCAGGATATATATACAAGGATAATAGCAGGATACAGAGAATAAGGTAAAACCCTAATGGGCTGTGGGCCGGTTATGGAGTCCATCCATATGGTTTATAACAACTAGATCGATTTTATAGCAATTATTTACTACTCTTTAGAAACGGATTGATAGCATATTCCAAAATACTAAACGAGTACAAAGATTTTATTCCAATTTAGTTACAGTATCAAATATATTATGCTTGGCGTTCAAGAGATTTGTGACGTAACTTAGCAGCCTATAAATACTCTAAAGCTTTACCTCTCATAACATCATCGAACACACAATGCAACTCTCTGAATCTGTAGAACGGGATTTGTCGAGCTTCTGTCTTTGGGCTGATCGTGTCAAGTTTAGATACCAACCACTGGTCTTCTCCGCTTCACTATATCAACATTCCTGATGCATGTTCATACCAATACAATAGTAAGCTTTTTTATATATAATATCCATATCACAAAACAATCAAAAGTATAAGTCTTATGATGCCAACCACATTTTTTTTGTTTCGGGTCCAAAGGGGACTGCAAGGACGAAGCTGGAGAGAGAGAAAGATGTGTTGCAGGAGCCATTTACATGTGTGTTATCCATCAGGTATAATTATAAATTCGATCAAGATAACCTATTTCTTAGCCAGATATGTCTAAATAGCATAGTTGTAAAGTGCAGCCTCTACATGTGGTTATGCTTCAGCAAAGGAGGGAACACCATCGAAGTGCATTGGTACAGGAGAAAAGCTAACCTCCACCATGTAAGAACTGCCAAACGCATATAATTTGAGCATCAGATAATTCAAGTCTCTAAAATTTAGATTCATACAGATATGGGATTCCAATATTATCAAAACAGCTGAAACCAATCTCTATAACTCCGAACTAGAAGGAATGGTGGATGCAATCTAAAAGAATATAACGGTACTCTTGAATCAAAAAGATTGTTCTCTACCTGCTTACTACAAGATGTTTTTTACTTGCTGACATATATATTTTAATAAATTGTAGACAGAATGGGCAGATCAAGTAAAGAGATGGGAAAGCTGAAAGAAGACAGCATGAATCGATGCCTCTGAGTCGAGAAACCACCTTTTTTTCTTTTGTGCCTTCTCCAAATTGATTTGGTCCCAACTTTCTTCAAGGATCCTTAGTCAGCCGACTTCGTTCATTTGGTTTAATCTCCTCGACGAGATTCTCATTTCTCGACTTCTCAGGCAATCCAAAGCTTCGTTACCTCCTGCTCTTTGCTTGGAAAATCACAATCTATGAGATATGGCGAGAAAGAAACTATCGACTTCATCGGAATATCAACAAATCTCCGGACTCGATCATCTGCAGCATACAATTCACCATCAAAAACAGGATCTCAACTTTCCGATCTGAGAACCCAGCAACAAGAAGCGACATCATGCAGCTATGGATCTCTCTCGGCTGATTTCTTCTCTTCGTCACCACTCACCATCCATCGTTTTCCACTACTCAAAGGAATGGGCTGGGCTTCTAACATATGGGTTCAATTATATTGTGTAATGGGTTTATCATATACGGGCTGTAAACTCTAATGGCCTTAATGCCACTTTTTAATTTTATGCAACGAATTAACAAAAAAAAAAAAAAGACAGCATGAATCCATATTTGGAAGCCAATCTTATATATATATATATATATATATATATATATATATATATCTTTTTTTTTTTTGTCGGTATCTTATATATATAGATATTAGGGCTGGGCATTCGGGTATGCGGGTCGGGTTCGGGTAAAACCCGATCGGGTATGGGTCTTTCGGGTAGAGGAGTTTAGGACCCAATAGGGTAAATCTAAAATATCGGTTCGGTTTCGGTTCGGATCTAATCGGGTTTGGGTCGGTTCGGGTTTAGATTTTTAAAACCGCTAAATACCCAAAAAAATCGGGTACCCATCGGGTTCGGGTATTTTATACCCAAATACCCAAAATTTTACCAAATACCCGAATTTTATCCGAAATTTTATCCTAATATCCGAATTTTATCCGCAATTTTACTCTAATATCCGAGTTTCACCCGAAAATTTATCCGAATAACCGGAATTTTTTCCAAATATTTAAAAAATTTACAAGCATCTCGCGTATAAATATATTTTGTCTTAAATATTTAAATATAAATGCATTAATTTTTGGTAACTATTCTCGGATATTTAGATATAAATGTATTTAGCTCAAATATTACATAATAAAAAGTTTTATATGTATAAATATATGTAATTTCGGGTAATCGGGTACTCGTTCGGGTATCGGGTTCGGATCGGGTTTTACCCTATACCCACGGGTACGGCAATACAAGACCCAATAGGGTAAATAGCTAATACCCGTACCCGCCCCGAACCGGTTTTTTCGGGTCGGTTTCGGTTCGGGTACTCGGGTACGGTTTTTCTGCCCAGGCCTAATAGATATCTACATATTATATTTAGAAAACAAATTAATATTGTAATATTTTAGAATTCTCATAACGAGTATGATTATTAAAGGTTAGTCCGATATACTAAAGGCCAAATCTCTTAATATTTATAGAATTATGTTACAAAATAGTAATGTAATGTTTCTAATTATTCATTGTATTTTCCTTTTTAAAAAAAAAAAAAATACACACATATTTGGCCGATTAAAAATAAATTTATAAATCGTTACTTACTCAAATAGTTACTTACTCAAATGTATGTTTTCTATGCACACATATTTGGCCCAATAAAAATACATTAAAAAATGCTTAGAACATAACAATATGATATATAGATATAGATGTCTTAAAAAAATTTACAATTTCAATCGGTTATAACTATAGATAATCATCAAACATTTAATATTATAAATTTTTATACAATCGTTTAAAATAACATATAGTCTCGCAGTGTACCTATAGATATAATATCCATAGATATAAGTACATTTAAATAAAACAAAACAATAGGTTATATCTATAGATAATCTTTAATAAAATAAATTTTTAATTTTTTTTTTTAAATATAGGCCCGCGGTGTACCGCAGGTTAATCTCATTAAAGTCTCATATTATAAAATTTGTCTTTTTCATTTCTATAAATATATTAACACTTAGTTGTCTGAAATATAAAAGAACAAATAAATACAATAACTCTTTACAAATATAATGCATACAAAATTTTGCACTACCACCGCTTTGTTTTCCTTTGTACAAAAAAAATAATAAGAGATATCATATTTCAATATTTATAACCATAAACAAAATTTACAAACCAACACAAATACTTGCACACAAATATATACATATATATATATATAAAGTCCTTACACACTTTCAAAACTATTTAAATATACAACAAACACAATAAGATGATACGTAATTTACACACACCGTACATTGTTGCTTACTAAATTGTAATCTCATTTTTTTTTTTTTTATTATAAATATTCAAACATACAACATACTAATCGTACAATGAACACTATATAGATTTCTATATACATTCTAATCAGACATGTAAATATGTAAATAGGTTATATAAATACTTATTATATTAAAAAAATATATTATTGATTGTTTCTCAAACAGACATATATTATTATTTAGAATAAAAATATAATCCCGCGGAGTACCGCGGGTCAATCCCTAGTAATTCTACAAAACCAAATATTTAAGGCTCCCAAATCCATTTCTATAATAATACAGATGATTGATGATGTTAATTTTTACCCAAATGTGAAGATGCATGGCAAATGTGACACGTGAACGGCACGATGGTGGCGTAAGGGGCGTTCCCATACGACGCAACACAATGAACGATGTGGTCAGAGCCAATTCTTTTGTTTGACTTGGGCAAAAAACAACGGAGCATTGACCTTGATCGACGGACAAAGAAGCCTCGTGCACTTGGCACTAATGGACATAGGTTACACTTGATTATAATAGACAAATAAGACTATAAACGTAATCAAAATCATTAATTTTACTAGCATGAAAAAAGAGTAATTTATTTACATTGTACTAATATACTATCATGATGTAAGTTATCCTAATTCAAATTAGTATTTAGTATTTACGTATTCTTTCCTTTTCTACCGCATACATACATATTTTCAATAGAAAATATTTGAATCTGTGTTGAGAAGTAAAGGTTTTGAAATGATAATAAATCATATTGTTATCATTGGCGGTTGCAGAAATTATATTTATCTAGGCCATAATCAGTGTCGGCCCAATATAATTAGAGGTTTTAGGATAAAAAGTTTATGGATCTTTTAGTTTTTTAAGAGATTTTTTTATATTTTGGACATATTAAAAAAAAAAACTCTTTGTCTATTTTTGAAAAAAAGATGAAAGTTTTATATATTTGGACCTAAATTTAGTACTTTTAAGGCTTTTTTATAATATTTTAGAATATAAAACAGTTTGGATCTTTTTTAGTACAAAAATATTAAACAGACCCTTTCTTTTAGAATTGGGTACGACTCTGTCGCTTTTTTTTTTCATACCCATTTGGTCCATGCTTGGGCACAATCCTAGGAAATTTGATTTTTTTATTAATTTGAATAGATATATTACAAAATTTAACTAAAAATTACATGAATTATGAAAATGAGTATGTGATACTTGCTCTACCCCTCATAAGTCTATGTCCGCCCCTAACTGTTATGTGACATACGTCTTCGGATCAAAATAAAACAACATAATTTTAAAAGATCCAAAGAAAACAAACCAAAGTAAAAACAAACTCATAAGCCTAATATAAGCAAGTGCATACAAATATGGGTCATCACACCATTATAAGCTTGATCTCGCTTAGCTTTGTTAAAAGCTTGTGTCTTCTTTGGACTTGGATACTTTTTCTTCTTCTGAAATACCTCCCAAGCTGTATCCTCACGAGCTCTCTCTCGCCTCTTTGGCCCTCCTCTCAAAGTCTGATCCGTTCGCTATCCCTGCTTCTTCCTTCCCTGGCATGTCCCCTAACTACGTCCAATTCTTCGATGTCGAAGAGAGCATCTCCGTCAGTCTGCCTCATTCATCCATCGTTGGTGGAAATTGTACATTCAAGGCACCTTACCAGATTCTACCTCAGAACATATGCTAGTGGTTTGACATTGTCAACTAGTCGTTTGGAGTTGAGTCTACTAGTTGAGTCTTCCATTGTTTGAGTCTTAAGTATGCGTCTGTCTTTTCTATTAAACCTTTCAAAAATTAAATCTTCTGTGTTTATATACTCTCTGTGAGAGAGATTGATATGCGTATGCTCTTAGAGAACTTTGCTATCATCTCTTATCATCCACTTATCAGTAATTTTTACTATGTGATGTCATGTCATACTTGTTGTTTCTCACTAGACCATGGACCAAGAAATACAATATTGTTTAGTCCTGTTTTCACTGGTAGGACTCTTGCCCAATCTAGCTGAGTGTCAAAAAGATTCTTAATAATCAATTTGGCTACATGTCATCTTCTGTTAGACTACTTCTGTAAAGCTTTTTCATTAGCTTACCTCTATGTGGTTTTTCGCCACCGTTGTTCAAGTTGAATCGTCATTTTGAAGCTGCATCCTGGGGATAATCCTTTTGTTTTCAGTTTTGCAAAGGCAAGAACCAAAAAAAAAAACATTATGCCAGATTCATAACGAGTACACTAATATAGTTTTATTTATTTATACATTAATATAGTACCTAAAATGCTTACATTTGAAAATTCTCATAACAACTCTATTAATTCACATTTGAAAGTTTAAGAGTAATGTAGTCTTTCACATTTGTTTCATAGTATTAGAAGAAAGATCTCTTTTGAACTATGATTCACTCACATTAGACATATATAGCGTTACCTTTATTAATAACACATTTTCAACTCTGGACTAATCATGGTTGTCCTGAATTGTAAGTCATTTTAAAATGAATATTTGTATCATAAAAATCGGCATTATTAACTAAAATAGAGAATTGATCAGAAAATCAATATATATATATATATATAATTGAATTTACCATTGCATTTTTAAGGAGGAATCGAATTTTTTTCTGATAAACGAGCTTTATATTAAAACTCTCGAAATGCTGAGAAGAAGAAGAAGAAAGGCTGCCTTTTCTAACTTGGGCCGAAATAGGCCTGTCTAATCTTTAATTTAATGGGGCTTAAAGTGGAAATATAGCCCAATAGAAGCTTCCGTGGTTTTAAATAGTTTTTTTTTTGTCGATTTTTTTTTTGGTAAACTAAAAAGAGTCTTTTGCAAAATAACCACTTTTGATAAACTATTTAAACATATAGCACCATAATGTTATAAATTAAGTAAGTAACACAACTAAAGAAGGAAATGTCTACAAAGTCCTTCACATTTGTGCTTTTGGACGAGCGCGTGAGGAGTGAAAAACGTGGGCTGACGTAGTGACGGTGGCAGGGATCGTGATGGTGATGGCCGCAATGGCGACGGTGGCAGTAGCGGTGGTCTTTCACACTCTTTTTGGTGATGATGATGATGATGATGGCGGTGGTTGTTGTCGCCGTGGTGATGGCGAGTGGCGACTTTAACTCCATTATCTTCATCATCATCTATTCATCTTCAACGATAGTTTGCAGCGTAATATGAGAAGAAGCATCCAATTCCAGAATCACAAACTTTCATTATCTAATTAGGGACCATTCTAATTAATATCAAACAATATAGAATCATCACCAAAATAGTATACTATTTATCTAAAGTCAACAGCGACTCCAATTTTACGGGGTGTGGGAGTTGAAGTTACAGCGGAGTAGTCGTGATGGTGAAAGTGACGCAGAGATGGAGCCTGCGAGTTGGATTGCTATGAGGCCCTCTGTCTCTGATCATGGCCAGGCCAACTAGGAAAAAGAAGAAATTTGAAGTGACCCTAATTAGATTGAATCAAAAAATTGGGTTCAATCTAATCGAAAATCAATTGAATCAAAAGAAGCACAATCCAAATTCATGAAAGAGAACTCTGAAAAATTCTCGTAGATGAAGTCATGAAGATGAATGAGAAAGGAAGAAAAAAAAAGGAGACGGAAAAAAAGCGTGAAGTTTACAGTTTTTACACCGAGGACAAAATTGTCATAAATACAAAAAATACAGAGAATATCAACTGGTTTTTTGTTTGATGTTAGTTTCTTAATTTATAAATTTTTTTGTTGGACCTTTTTGTGGTTTTGTTATTGGAATGTCCATAACCTGAAAAAGTAAAGGAAGCTTAGCTTTGTACAAGTAAGCAATTACCTATTTCTACTCTGTTTTTTTGCACTTAAAAAGTATTCACCTTTTGCTATAGAATAATAAATATGTCATTCACTTCTAATATCTAACATAGTTAATTCAATGGCTATCTGTTTTAATGTCTTCTTGTTTTTTCTATTAATAAAGCCAATTCCTAGGGCTTTATTCAGCAAAAGGCCAAGGAAGCCACTATAAAGATCTGAAAGATGCAATCGATAAGAATGTATCCTAAAATGTGTACTTGTTTTGACTCTCACACTCGAATTATGGGATTTAAAAGTTCATCGATTGACTTAATTCATATATTCAGGGGACTTAATTCATATATTAAAAATTTAAAACTCTCGAAATGCTGATTTGTTTCAATTTTTAAATATTTAGTAAAGTAGATTTGTTTCAATTTTTTACTCCACGAAGATAAAAGTGATAAATATCAATAATGAAAAGGATAAATCTCAACATATTGCATTTTTTTTGATAAAAAAACTTGGTGGGTTAAATATAGGGTTTTAGGAGGAGAAGATCACCATTTCTTCAATTAGGGCTTCTTTATTTGAATCTCTTGATTTTCCATAAGAACACATCCTAGTTCATGTCTCTGCTTCTAAGACGGCTCTCGAGGCTCCGCCTTGGGAAACCTTTGCTGGTAAGATCCTCGGTTCTTCTTTCTAATGGCTTCTCATCTTCCTCGCTGCAAACTCCTCCTTGTTCCATCCTCTACGTCACTCCTTGTGGAGCTGATCTCGGAAAACTCGTGATTTCGAATGCTGATGCACGTCACTGCATTAAATTGGAAAAGAAGGTGCCTCTGGAGTTGGTGGATAGTGATCCAATGGTGACGATAGGGGCATCACATGGCTGGGTAGCTACTTTGAAAGACGACGGAATCGTGCGTCTCCAAGACGATCTAAACCCATATGCATCGGATACAGATCCGAAACGCATCTCGCTGCCTCCTCTTGTGACTCTGCCTGGTTGCCAAACACAAGTTGTGACCAACGTGGCCATGTCCTCGTCTTCCCCGGAGGATGAGGACTGTGTTGTGGCTGTCAAGTTCTTGGGGTCTCAACTCAGCTTTTGCAGACCCGCTCAAGCTAACTCCGAGTGGCTCAACTTCAGGATCGCTAGCCCCTGCTTCTACTCCTCCCCTGTCATGTTTTCCAAGAAACATGACATGTTTCGCTTTCCCGGATCTGGAGGCCACCTCATTGGATCATGGGATCCTCGGGCACACAAGCACAAACCCAAGTTCCAGAGGTTGCGATTCCAGAACCTTCCCGAGCTGACCAAGACCAAACGGGAGCTTTTGCAATCGTGTTGCACGAGTGAACACTTGGTGGAGTCACGATCCACCGATGAAACGTTCTTGGTTAAGTTATACCGGAAGGTCACGGCCAGTGGTACCGTGAAAATGCAAACGAAAGCTCTAATGGTCTTCAAGCTTGACGAAGAAGGAAACGCGGTCTACACTAAAGACATCGGAGATCTCTGCATTTTCATCTCACAGGCTGAACCGTTTGCTGTCCCTGGCTTGTGCCCTAACTGGGTACGAGTCTTGGATATCGAAGAAAGCATCTCTTTCTATCTGCCTGATTCCTCCATCTGTGGTGGAAATTGTTCAAAACGAGCACCTTACCATATTCCACCTCAAAATATAGTCTAGCTATTAGTTTGGGAGTTAGAGTCTGAGTCTAGAGTCTGTCTTTTCTCTTAATTAAACCTTGGAAACATCAAACTATTTTTGTCTATGCGTTCTGAGATTGATTGATATGCATTTGGTCTTGAACTTTGTCTTGCTCTTTGCCTCCATAACTCATATATGTAGGATTTATATATCGAATATCGAATGTTGTGACACCCCTTTAAGCAGTGGCTATCAATTAGCATACATTACGCATTTGTTGTATTGACTGCGAATTAACTAATTGTTTTCACTAACCATAAACCTATTTTTTTAAATCTCATTCTGTCACTTTGGTCTTTATTTTCTCTTTTAGACTTTTATATGCAAATGTTCAGATATAAGGATCTAATATTTACCGTCCAATCCCAAAATCCATTGCTCTACGAGCTGCATCATTGTCCTCATCACAATCAGACATTGGCTCATACCATTTTGCATTTAATGATATCCCGATCTGACCACGTTGTTTCTCCTTGCATATGAAAATTTCCCACATTTTATTCTGCACTATGAATTATAAGATATTAAGATTGTTCCCTTCTGTTTTCTTACCTTGAAGTTTCTCTGGTAGGTGTGGTAAGCTGCAGCATGAGACAAGAGAATGTTATGAGCTACAACATACGGTTCGACCGATGACTTCCCCTCCTTACAGAACCAATGTCCCAGAAGTGAGCACCTCCCTGGAGCTTGTATCCCTGTGTCATAGCCTTGGATCGATACCCCATGAGGCTCATTGAAAGTGATCCAGTACTTCACTCTATCTCCAAATGCTTTGAAACAGGTGAATGCATAACGCTCGAAATCATCCCTGCACCATTTTTTTTTAGCGTAGGATTTCGTAACCATCTCACCATATCAAGATATCACATTTTTTTAGCATACTTACACGACTTCTCTGCTTAGCCATCCTTCATATCTGTCTTCTAAAGCTTGTGGGAGATCCCAGTGATACAATGTCACGTAAGGTTTGATTCGTTTGGCTAAAAGAGCATCTATTAGGCTGTTATAGTACTTAACTCCATCTGGGTTCACTTCCCCTGTTCCATCTGTTAAATTTTTGATTGATGGTTGTGTGAATCACATTTTGGGGGTTTGAGATATTTACCGTTTTCTGTGATGAATACAGGTGGGTTTCCATACATGTCTTTAAGATACACTGCCAGTTTCCTGATTCCCCATGGGACAATGTGTAGCCAGCTTGATCCTGCCTGTTTCAAGTAAGTTGTTTCTCATCAAATACAACTGTTTAGTTTCTTTGAGAAGCCAGTATGGATTAGGGAACATCTTCGGGTTTCTATCAGAACAAATACATACTTTTTCTCCTATAGCTACTCCTCCACGAAAAGCTACAACAATTAGGAGCAAACATTAGCTAAAACAACAAAGAAAGGTTCTTGCTTCTTAGATTCTCTCATTGATGTCCTGTTACGTCTTATCTTAGATTTGTTTGGATGAGGTTGCTCTGTCAAGAAGCAACCCTACATTTATCTTTGAGCTTAAGTCAACAAATGTGTTCTTTTCAGGTAAAACTTACATGAACCCTATTATATTGATCGACCGAAGTATCCGCATTGCTGAAATCCAATATCTTTCCTGTTGATCAAGAAAAAACTGATTTGTTTGTGACATTTTCTGATTTGTTTCTTTAATACCTGGTTTCTTCGTGAAAGTGTCCCATATGCTTTCTCCTTTGTACAGCTCCTTCGAACTGATGTTCTTGCAAGAAAATGTTGCGATTGTCAAAATCTTCTTTCTTTCTTGGATCAGTTTGGAGAAGAAGAAGAAGAAGAAGAATGTCACCTGGTATGCTGACGAAGCTGTTCCGAATACAAACCCATCTGGAAAATCTGCTCTGCTGATAGATTCTGAAGAAACATGATCAAGAGGGACGAAGAAGACGACCAAGAACGGAAACAGAACTAAGACGAGTCTCATTAAAGATTCCATTTTTAGGTCGCATGAATAGAGAAAGTGTGTGTGAGAGAGAGAGAGAGAGAGAGAGAGAGAGAGAGAGAGAGAGAGAGAGAGGGAGATAAAAGGGATGGAATTTTTTGGTGAATGAAAGATTTGGAGGAAGGAAATGGAGTTTTTGTGTGTGTTTTTAATTTGTAAAGTTGAAGAAGAAAGAGGAAGAGTGCAAAAGAAAAGCTCTCGTCTTTTGAAGGCTCTTCTTTGGTGTTGACATTTGTTGTTGATTTGTTCACTCTACTTTTACTGTACACGTTTCTTATACTTGTGCCAAAAACTTTAAAAGAAAATTGTACTCTCAGATAAAAAGTTTGTTACTAGAGACATTGATTCACCTATTTAACTTACCGATGTTTTTTATTTTATTTGTCGATGATCTGGTTATTTTTGTAACCCCAATTAAATTCATAGATTGAATAAAAAATTACGTACTTTATTTTTCGATGAGTTAATAAGAGGGTGTTATTTAATGATGGAGTTAAAATCAATCTTGGATTTTGATTCTAATAATTTACTCAGAAAACTCCACAGAGATTTCATTTCAAATGATTTAATATACAAAGATTTTACAAGTCTTTTAGTTTTGAATAACACCAAACTATTAAAATCTAATGAAATATAAGATCCAATAACACTAGATTTTAAAGTTAGATTTATAAATTAATACTATAAAAATAATGTTGACTTTTATAGCATTTTAGCATACATATCCGTTTATCTATGTTTCTTTTTTGTTTCTTAAATTTCTATCGAAAAAAAAAACAAGGTAAATCGATTTCAATATTGTTGGATCTGGGCTTTGTCTTTCAACCATTCAAACCAGCTCATCATAAAAATAATAGTCTCTCTGACCAGGCAGTCCATGCTAGATAGTCCATTCGGAAAGTGACAGGTCCACTAAGAGATCAGTCCGTCGAGGAACAGGCCCGTCCAACAGCAACCACTGTCACTATGCACATGTAACCTAATGATTCCATATCGATTCCGAAAAGGATCGAGGTATCACATCACTGTTATAAAAACAAGTATCTGACGACAAAAAAAAAAGGAAAGCTTGGACTGGTGTGGAAATCAGGAATTATCCGGTTCTAACCCTTAATTAACTAGGCTTGATACTTCGACTAATTAGATCGTCCTGTTATAGTAGATCGGTACCTGAATCTATTTGTATTATGCCGATCCCTGGTTAAGTTTAATAAGAAGTGCCTTTTATTCCGATCCCATATATGTTCTCCTTTAAGTTCGCGTTCAGGCCTACGATCATCAGTTGGCGACCACATTGGGAGGTAACAGAAGCTACTTACTTGCGACAACCCGGCATCGGCAGAATGACGGACAGAGGAAGGTAAACAAGAATTGATGGAGAGTTCTTGGAGGACACACCTGACATGGTCCCGTCGATCGTAGGAGAACTTAATGTACTAAGGGAGAACTTCAAACCAGAAGAAGCTGACGCCGGCAAGTGCCAAATTTTTACCAAACATCTAAGTGGTGCTGCGTTCGACTTCGATGAAAGTAGCCGAACAAGCTTTGTCGAGTTCTTAAAAGCTAACGTCGCCACATTTGCGTGGTCTATCCACGATATGGTCAATATAAGCCCTGAGGTCATATGTCATGAGCTTAATGTCGATCCCACGTACATGCCTGTAAAGCAGAAGAGGCGAAAACTCGTAGCCGAAAGAAAAAAAGCGCTTAATGAAGAGGTAAAAAAGCTGCTTGAGGTCGGGTCCATAATCGAAGTAAAATACCCGTCCTGTTGTAGTCAACAAGAAAAACAGAAAAGCACAAATCTGCATCAACTTCACGGACTTAAACAAGGCATGCCCTAAGGATAGATATCCCTTGTCGCACATCGAACGATTAATGGAAGTAACAGCAAGAAACAAGCTGTTATCTTTCATGGAAACCTTCTCGGGGTATAATCAAGTACTCATGCATAAGGAGGATCAAGATAAAATAGCGTTTGTAACCAATCGCGGAACCTATTGCTATAAGATTCTGCCTTTCGGCCTGAAAAATGCAGGGATGTTTGTATAACAGTTGGGCCATAAAATAGAAGTCTACATCGACGATATGCTGGTAAAATCGAAGCTAGCCACCGACCATGTCAAACACTTGAAGAGATGTTTTGCGACAATACAACATGAAGCTCAATCCGGCAAAATGTTTGTTTTGCATGACTTCTAGGGAGTTCTCGGGGTATATCGTTACCAAACGCGGTATCGAGGAAAAACCAAAAAAGATAACATCTATATTGAATATGTCGTCCCCTAGAAACAAACGTGAAGTACAATGATTAACTGGACGAATTATCGCCCTCAACAGCTTCATCTCAAGATCAACCGACAAAACCTTACCATTCTATCAACTACTTTGAATGGACACCCAAATGTGAGCAAGCTTTCTCCGAGCTTAAAAAGTACCTACCCACACCACCTATCCTCGCCAAACCAGAAGAGGGAGAGAAGTTGTACCTATATATCGCGGTATCAAGCCTAGCAATGAGTGGCGTCAGTCTGAGACTATCGTGGTGAACAAAAACCAACTTTTTACATAAGCAAAACTCTCGATGGCGTCGAGCTGCGTTACCCAACGATTGACTAAATTGCATATGATGTGGTAGTATCGACATGAAAACTCCGACCTTACTTCCAGTCTCACACCATCGTCATGCTAACCAACCAACCGCTGCGACAGATCCTCCATAATCCAGGCCAATCAGGACGAATGTCCAAGTGGACAGTAAAATTAAGCGAATACGATACGGAATACCTCAGACGAACGAGCATGAAGTCAAAAGTACAGGCCGATTTCCTCATTGAACTTCCTCCGAGCACCGATTCTGAGCCCCCACCAAAGGAGAAATGGATCATACACGTCGATGGAGCATCTTCCTAGCATGGTTTAGGTATAGGGTTGCACCTAACCTCGCCAACAGGAAGATTCTCGAACAATTATTTCAGCTCGGCTTTTTTGACTCGAACAACGAGTCAAAATATGAAGCATTAATCGATGGATTTAAACTCGCGTCTGGAATTGATGTCAAGCACCTACAAGCATATTGCGACTCTCATCTAGTAGCAAGCCAGTTCAGCGGTGACTACGAGACCAAAAACGAGAGGATAGATGCCTACCTAAAGATCGTTCAGAAGCTGATCAAGCAATTCATATTCTCCGCCTTCGATAAAATTCCAAGAAGCGCAAACGCCCCCGGCCCGTAGATGCATTGGTCGTACTATTCTCAACGTCTGATCCAAACCTGCGAAGAGTGATACCCGTCGAAAGCATATATCTATCAGTAGTATAGACAGACGTGATACCGTTTGCCTTGCCCAAACCAATACAGCAGAGGATCACTCATACCTCAACCCCAATGATTGGTGAATACCTATAGTCCAGTATATTGCTGATGGCGTTGTCCCATCTGATAAGTGGGAAACTCGACGATTAAAAGCAAAGAAAGCTCACTACACAATGCTCGATGGCCTCCTCTTCTGATATAGCACCAACAAAATTCTCTTCCTATGCATACGAAAGCAGGAAACTGAGAGGGTAATGAAGAAAATGCACGTTGGTACTGGTGGTAATCATTCATGACGGCATGCCTTAGCTTTGAAAATAAAAAAACATGGGCTTTATTAGCCGACCATGATAGCAGATTGTGAACAATTTATCGCCAAGTGCAAAAAATCTCAATGACACGCGCCGATAATTCATGCGCCAAAGGAAATGCTCACCATCTCGACCGCACCTTATCTGTTTACGCGATGGACCATGGACATCGTTGGACCAATATCTGCATCACACAACAAGAAGTATGCACTGATAATGACAGACTACTTTACTCGAAGCGGAATCGTACATCAAGATCCAATCGAAAGAAGTCAAGAACTTTGTCTGAAAACTATCATATGTCACCACGGACTTCCACACGAGATCGTCACAGATAATGGGTCACAATTCACTTCCAAGCAGTTCGAAGATTTCTGCACCAGCTGGCGGATCCGATTGAGCAAATTCACTCCAATAAAATCCGCAAGGAAACGGTCAAGCCGAGACACAAAACTAGACTATCCCGGACGGACTTAAAAAGAGACTGGACGGTAAGAAGGACAAGTAGGTAGATGAGCTCGATGGATTCCTCTAGTCCCACAAAATGACGCCACGATTATCAACAGATCAAACACCGATCTTTCTCGTCTATGGCATGGAGGCAGTCATCCCAGCAGAGGTCAACGTAGGAAGTCTCTGCCAAACGCTTCTTATCAGCCAGCCTGAATTAAATAATCAAATGCTCATCAATAGCAACGACGAGGTCAAGGAGCTCTGCGACCAAGCACTTCACTGAATACAAAACTACCAAAATTCTGCAGCTCCGTATTACAACAAAGCGTCCATCAACGCTTCTTCGACAAAGGCGACCTGGTCCTACGAAAATTCTTCGAAAATACCACAGAGTTAAAGGCCGGCAAGATGGGAGCAAATTGGGAAGGACACTATCAAGTATCAAAGTTCGTCAAACCTGGCATATACGACCTCATGACAATGCCGGGCATAAAAGTATTACGATCCTGGAACACGAACAATCTAAAAATATACTACTACTAAGCAGTGGCCAGACCCTGAGTCTTTTCGACGAAGTCACAATCGCTTAAAAATAAAGAAAGGGATGGCTCAACCATCATTTATCAGTTTGTAATGTGAACTACGATCGGCTTGATCCCTGAAAGGGGTACGTAGGCAACCTGTTCAGCTCCTCCTTCAGCTTCTCAGACTCTTCTGTTACGGTTTGAGCAAGATGTTGTGTCTTTATTGCATGCTTTTGCGCCTCATCCCTACACTCCTCCGCTATCTTTGTGAGGCTCTCGGCTTTCTTCGTACGCCAATCGTAGTGGTTAATCAACAAGTTCAGCGAACCCACCAACTAC